AGAATGATTATAACTTTGCTAATTTCATGACCTATCAAATTTGTTTAAAATAAAATCAACATATTAAATTTTGAATATAGTAATATTGAATAACATTATCACGAAATTTCTTTCCACCATACCCATACCAATATATTGCATTTGTGTACATGGTTGGAGACGGTGTTAGTCATCGTTGAAATCATGACTCGTCTCCTCCATTCATCTGACCAGAAAATGTATCGTCGATTCCTTTTTGTTTGTTTACCCACGTTACACTGTCAAAAGAACAAAGCATAAGCAACAACTTTTTTTCCAGAACCCTTTTTTCGTTCAACTTGACCAATATTCATATAAAAATCAACCAGTAGTAGATGCTCAATAAAGCGAGAACATAGATGGTTCATATTTTAACCAAAATCAAATTGATCCTATCCTGCTACTGAATGTGGATCGGAAACACTATTTGACGAAAGTCCTTTGCAAGCAGGCAGCTTGGCCTGACTTTTCACGGCTGGTAGTGCAAATTCCGAGTTCTGGGATTCCCAAATTTACGAAAAGAGGCGCATCATGCAGCGCTGTGTTCACATCTTCTGCTATTCTATTCTATACTATTCCAAGTATAAAGAGAAATGGAATCATGCTTCCTTGTGCAGCTGTGTTCCTTCCCTTGCCGGGGTCTCGTTTACAAGGACTCCAAACCCATTGATTTTCGAGTGAGTGGAAGAGAATATTCATCTTCGGATTTCACGGTTTAGGGATTTTCGCGGTTTAGGGTATTAATGTGTATCTATACGGGGCAAAGTTATCAAATGAAAGACTGGTTTGGATGGAAAGAAACTGTAGCAGAAAATTTTGTGTTCATAAGTATCCTGAGCTTCTTCTAGTAAGTTTTAGTGGTCGTTTGGATGGAACATTGTGATGTATCAATTGTACCCAAATGGCTCATTTTGAAACAATTGGGTCAAATTGACTCATTTGACTTCAAAAAGTTGAAATGAAACAATCTGGGCCGGGGAAATGAGAATTGTACCATTAGCGTTCAATAGAAAATACTAGGGATAGGGAGGTAATTTCAATCTAAATGGCTCGTCGCCCTAGTTTTACTATTATCGCACAAACTTAAATCGTAAAATTACTACATTATCCTTCATCATTCAAACCTAATTCAATAAAACAAATTGCCACTAAAATCCCCCCTTCATCACCGAATAATCACCGTCGATCAGCACCACCCAACCACGACTGTCATCGGTCGGTCAAGCAATGCTCGCCGAAGAACACCATATCGCACTTGCACTTGAACCCCGTCGGCCGTCAGCCTCAGCCCCACATGCTTCCTGCACTGGTTGCACATGTCGCCTGCATCCGCTCCCCGACCACCACGCCGGCGCTGCGACCTTCTTCTTCTCCTCCGATGCCTGAACCAACTTTCGTGGCCGCCCTCCCTGACGTTGTGAAAACGGTAACTTGTCAAGAAGTAAAAAAAAAAAAAAAACCCGACCTAAATCCCTAATAATCCTCCTTCTCCTTCTTCCAAAATTTTATCGGTATGATAGTTCCTGGGTTAATTGGAGTTGCCCATGGATGTAAAGATTTGTTGTCAAATTTATTAACCCCATCAATTTGAAACCGCAAGTGATTAAAGAAGTTGATCGGCGATTGGAAATTTTAGTGGAACGGTACTCGTCTGAATTATTCAGTGTTGGCCGGCGATCGGTGGGAATATGTGATGTTTTTAAGGGGAATAAATTACTTTTAATGTTTAAAAACAAAGATAAAAAAGTCATCTTAATTTTTAATTTTGGGCGGTCCGTAAAAGCTAGAGCGACAATTAGCAATTTCCAATTTCAATTGACACGATTTTTGTATCCCTTCCAATTCCGACCCTCTCTCTTTAAAGACAAACCACTCTTATCTTCTTCTCTTTCCTTTCTTTTTCTCTCCAACTACGCTACCATTTCTCTTCTTCTCTTTCTTGTGTATCTATGGCGAACAGAGGAAGAAGAATCAAGGTTATGATGGTCGCCAGCGGTCGGCGGACAAAGGGAGGAATAGAGAAATTCTGTTGCCGAATTTGTAGAGAGGTTGTCGCTGCCCAACTATCGTCGTAGAGGCTAAGGAGCGAGTTCTCGAGGACCATCCGGTGGGACGATTAAGTCCACGCTAAGGGATTTTGACGCATGTGTGTAAGCAGTGGGTCGATTGACTCCATCCTCACTAGGCTCAAAAGACGGCGGGAATTGTTGGAGTTCCTCACTGGCAGTCCAGCCTCTAATTCAAGAAACGAGAAGTCTCAATCCTTCAAATCCCGCCGTCTCTGCTTTGAACGCCCAATTTCATTCGTGTCCTGAACCCCCCAATTTCTCATAGGGTTAGAGTCAAGTTGCAGAAACGGGGGAAAAAAAAAAGATCTCGAATTCCTTCTCACCTAACATCTCCGTCGAGATTCTAATCACGAAGATCTTGAATTGTTTTGAGTCCTATCTGTTGACAAGAGTTATTAATGTGTTCTTTTATTCAAATTGTTTCTAGGCAAGTTTCAATTAAATGCAGGCTTAATTGAGCAATTAGTAAAATAAAATATGAGCAAGTTACAGATAAAATAAATATGTGCATTTTATTTCATCTATAAATTAATGGTACGCTTAATAATGTGTCAACAGTCATAAAGCATATATAATTAATTATTTAATTATAAATAAATATTTATATTTTGTTTAAATTATCAATCTAATTCATTACGAATGTTAAATGTATCTTATAGGTTTTATACATGTTGAATACGAGAACATCAAATAGATGAAAAATGTAACGATTTGGCAATATTAAAGAAACGAAAGTTTTAAATAATGCATACGATTATCAAGGTGCGAGTCCATTAGATTACATAAAATTTGTATTACAGATTGATCAGATTACTAGTTGATTATGTTACAAATCTTACAGGTCAATTAGACCAGTTAACATCAATTAAAATTATAATCAAACCAGTTATGAATCAATCAAGTTGCGAGATCATGGGATTATAGTTGGGTCATTTATGGGTCACTAATATTTCTGCAGTGAGAGCTGAGAGGGTAGCAGGCTAATCAAGTGGTGAAGACACTTTCAATGAGATTTAAGATGTTCGAATTGAATTATACTTAAGTTTTATTCATCGAAATTACGTGACAACCAGAATATGACTCAATTGAATTGTGATTATTGAGATTATCAATGAAATCGAGCTACAAATGATCGACTAGGATACTAGCCAGTCAAATTACATTTTGCATGTGATTGTGATTTAGGTTTAGTCAACTTGGATTGCTAATGAACTAACTCTATTCTGGTTAGGTTGGTAGCTAAATACTTTCCAGGGTTAGGTTAGGAGCTTGCATAGGATAATGCCCTTAAATCCTCAAATTGATTTTTAATTAGCCAAAATAGTAGGGCAGAGAAACCAGTTCACTATACTCTATTGGTTGGCTGGAGTCAAGAAGTGGCACCAAAGTGGCCTGGAGTGGATAAGCTGAGCTGGGCTTGGTAAATGTCCAAAATTCTCCAAGTGGTTATTTTTGAACAGTCCTCGTAGTTTTCTGTTGCTCAAACATAGTCCCCTTAGTTTTTCTCTCTCTCGAACATTGTCCCCAAGAGGTAAAATGGAGTAAAGAGTCAAACTCCCACCCCCAACAAAAAAAGAGCGGAAATAAAAAAGAAATAGATATATGCGTGGACCTTTTGCTTTTAGTCAAGACAAAAGAGTGGGCATTGGCTCATCGTTTCCTTGCGTTTGTTTTACTCCAAGCAACAATTCTTTAGTAGAGTTATTGGAATTTGGAGTGCTCTATGGAAGGTTAAAATATTTGATATCCAATTATAAAGAGTTTAAGGAGCATGTTTTCTTGATCGTTCTTAATTACCAATTTGTTCCACATATTTTGTAACAAAGGCTTGGTTTGTTGTTCATATGTGAATAATTTTCCAGATGTACAAGTAATTTGTTGGCTAGTTTGATACTAGCGAGTGAATAATACTCTCAAACGTGAATTGGAGGTATCAGCAAATTAGATATCTTGTAATTTGAGATGGAGTCAGACCTGACATCATTATAATTTTAGAGAAAAATTATTAATTGCAGGATAAGTATTTTATAGACAACAAAATAAACTTAGTGAGAAATTGCATGTGTAGATCCCCTTTCAATTTCAAACATATATAACTAGTTCCATCAATCAAGCCGCGCCATACTTTCTAATAAATCTGTCACAATACTTGAATTCGTGATCATTCAAACGAGACACTCTCTTATAAATGCGTCCTCATACGATACTTTGGAATTTGGATAGTCATGTTACCATTTGTGAGATACCTATGTTATATATAGATTTTTTTTACGAAAACTAATACAAAATTTATACAATCGAATTCATTGTACATTAGGTAGGGATTAGGGAATATTGCAACGCATAAAGTGCACGTAGTAATATCACCCAAAACAATCACCGAATCACCAACAGAAAGTGCACAGAAACTTGGACATCAACAAAAACAACAATGGACCAGTTTAAATTAAGGCCCAAAAAGAAAGGGCCAAGCCCTAAAGGCTGAAACCCAAACTGTGGAAGCAAATAGACAACAGTTTGGGCACATAATAATTAGCGTGTGGTGGAATTTACAGAATTTAAGTTAATCAGCGGTGAAAATTCAAATTAAGTCTGTGCCACGTGTCCACCGACTGGGTCCCACCTTAGAAAAAGGTCAGACCCACATCCCCACGCCCCCCCAAACCACAACACACCCCACTGATCCATCCATCCAACCCTAATAACGAAACCAGTAATCCGGAAGAAAAGAAAAGAAAAAAGAAAAGCGAAAAATCGAGAAAAGGAAATTTGTTGGGAGATAATATAAATTCCCTTTCCTTGGAAGAAATAAGAATCAAACTATAAAAATGAAAATATTTTAATGATAAAAACTGAATAACTCTCACCAAAAGCACACATTAAAGCCACAAACCCACCCCTTTCTTCCTTCCACCCTTTTTTTTCTCCCATCTCTTCATACATAATCCTCCGCCCCTTCACCCCTAACCTCCCTTCCTTCTCCATTTTGATTTTCTTTTTTCTCTTCCCTCACCCAACCCTTCCCTGCTCTCCTTTCCCTTTCCTTCCACCACTCTCTCGTCTCCTTCTCTCTCCCCTGGACGGCGAGCTGTGTCAGCGGCGTGGAACACGATGCGGGCGGACGAGTGGGTGGCGGCGGCGATGACCGACGACACGGTGGTGGTCGAGCTGCTGGTGCGCCTGAAGCAGGCGCAGGCCGCGGTTCCAGCCAAACAGCAGCTGATGCAGACGTATTATTCGTCTTTCGGCGGTGGCGGTGCGGTGATTCCTGTCAGATGGGGTCTCCGCCTCCCGAGGTCCAAGTCTGCGGCCGCCACGTCAGCTGGCTCCATGAGATGCGGCGGCGTCGTTTCTAGAAGGAAGGAAGGCGATTCTTCCACCAGATGCAGCCCGACGACTCCGCTTTCCTGGAGCGGCGGCGGCGGCGCCGCGTCTCCCTCCGCCGCCGGCGACGGCTACAAAGAGACCAGCAGCCACCGCTCCCCCTCCGGTTCCAGATCCAAGGTTTGTACATCCTCCTCCTTGCCTCTCCCTACTCCTCCTCCCTTCTCGTTCTGGATTCCGGTGGTTGTTGCGTCATTAGATTCGCCTTCAGCTGATCTGTTTAGGTGAGGAGGGTGTGGGTATTTGGTGTTGTTTGACTGGATTTTCCCTCGAGGTAGACTGCAATTACAGCTGGCGAGCCCCGTCTTTCTTTTTACCGGTGGCGTTGAGTCGAGCCGACGAGACATTCTTGTCTCCAGAGCTGCGGAAGGAGTCCAACAATGGACCAACCGCTTTTTTCTTTTACTTTCCTTTTTGTTTTCTTCTCTCTCTCTCTCTCTCTCTCTCTCTTTCTCACCCTTTGCACTTGACCTGCCTAATTTGTCTTTCCTCTCCCCTCGCCTTAATTATTGTTCTCCCTGTCCTCCGATTTTCCTTCCTTCCCGGCGAAGCCGCCGGGAGTGTGCGGAGTTGATTGATCCGCGGCGGGCCGCCGTCTCTGTCAGCAGCTGACAGTGATGGCAAAAATCCCCGAATCCTGATCTGTTTCTGATCGACGGTGGGAATAGCATAACCGTCGATGAGTAGCTTGCCATCCACTCTTTTTCCCCCTTCTGTTAATTTTTGCGTGGGTGTGAGTCAAAGACCAAACTGCCCCTGGGCCCCTTTTCTCAAGAGGTCACATGAGGTCAGAGCTTTGAGCAGGCTTTGCTCAAAGAAGGGGGAATCGGGGAATTTGGAGGGGTAAAAGTGGGTCAGCAAAAATAACTTGAAAGTGGCTCACGTTTTCCTCTCTCGCCTCTTTTTGGGTCACCTGTCATTCTTGGGTTTTTGTTCCCCTTCCCTTCCATACGAGAGTTTGTTTGGAAGTTGGAATAGACGGAATCGCCCTCCCTTCATTTCTGAGCTTGTAATTTATCATTGTTAGATTCGGAGTGGTCTGTACGCTTTCCCAGTAACGGGACGGTTTTGTCAGATGGTCGACGTCGATTGGACTTTTCTTTTATCATTTTTTTCCACTCCCTTAATAATTATACCATAAAATAAAATCCTAATTCCTTCACCCGTCGTAGTAATAAACCACGAAGCTTCCCGCACCGTATCTTTTTTTCTCTCCTTTCTTCCCTCATTTTGTTGTTTGGACGGCTTTGTTTTCATCACTTCCTTACCCTTTTGGGGTATTTTAGATTTTGATTTTTCTTGTTCGAGTGTGGAGCCCAGGGAGACGGTGGCGGAAAGGTAGACCCGAGCCCAGCCGAATTTGGGCTCGGGAGGTCCAGTTGTGATTGGCGAACCCGAAATTATTGTTTTTTATTATATAATAAATTTGTGTTATGGTGTTATCTCTTTTTTGGTATTCGAGGGGAGGTCGGCGCGTGTTCATTGCTTTGCATTGTGGTTGTCATCATTGGTGTGATTGAATTGAATGTGGCGTTGGCAGCCGGGTCGGGTACGGATACGGGCCAGGCGGGTTTAATTAAGGGAGAATGGGGCGATGATGGGTGGCGCGTCGCGGCCCAATACACGCTGTCGGGGGCGCGGGGGCTGTCACGTGCATGCTTCACGTGACTATTTAAAGATAGAGAGAGGGGTTGGGGATTTTAAGCTTTGGCTCTGTAAATGTGTCAACACGCTTCCTTCTGCTGACGTGGCTTCCTTCTACTGGTTGGGTCTGTCTGTCGTCGTGAATTCCTCGGGGAGCCACTTCTTCTCCATGGATCTTCGATGGTTCACCATATCTGGATCGGATTGATTCCTGAAGGCTGAAGGTGAAATGTGTAGAGCCTACTTTCCTCTCCTGGGTAAAATTCCAGCTGTCGCCATTGACGAGGAGGGGTCTTTACTTTTAAAATTAATCCCTTGACGATCTCTCTCCACTACAACTAGGGTTTTCATATTTGAATAAAATATATACAGTATCTCGTTCATCCTAATCCCATTTATTATATTGATGATGGGAAGTAATTGGTGGATCTTTAATAACTTCGGTAATGGGAGTTACTACAATTTTTTGTCGTTAGATCAGCCGAACTGAGAGGAGCTGGCTGTCTGTTTCAATTCGTATTTTCCGTTTCTGTCTCCGAAGTTAGAATATTTGCCTGCGCTGGAGTGGTGGGTTGGTTTGTATTTGTGTGGAAGTTTGGCCTCTCGTTTCTTTGTCACTTGTGTTGGATTAGGGTTGGGACTTGGGACATTTATCTGCTTAATAGTTTTGTATTATCTATATCTACATATATTATTTATTCTGGATTGAGGAGTAGTAGGGGGTTGTTGGTATTTTGCAATGGGACCCAAATCCCCAATCCCGGGATCAGGGCTGCCGCACTTTGGAACGCGTGCACGTGGGGGGTTCTTCCCGCTGTTTAACATGCCATTTAGTCTCCTCTCCTCTTCTTTGCCTCCTCTTTGGGCTCTCTAGCCCAAAGATTCCAGTTTCATTGCTTTGTAATTGGTAATTGTCAACTTGTCGAGAGCCAAAATTTATGGTTCCTAGTGTTCTGTTTCACTGCGATCGTGCTGATCCATCTTCTCTTGTTTTCCGCAAATGCAGGGTAGTGTTGCTACTGCTGCGGAGATCACTAGCACTGGAACCACCACCGCGAAGAGAACTAGAAGAAAGAAGGTACTGAAAAAGCTCCCATCTTTTCGTTTCCCTTCATTTTCCATCTAGCCTTTGCCCTGCTTCACTGGGTGCCCTTTGATTTTGGTTGCTAATCATTTTGGCCCTTCTCCTTTGGCGTTTCTCTGCAGACACTAGCTGAACTTAGAGAAGAGGAATACTTTCTCTGGAAGCAAAGGACACACCTAAAAAAGGTATCAAATTCTTGCTTCTCTTTTTTCCACCCAGATCATCCCCCCCTAATCTGGTTTAAGGTTCATACCTAAATCTCCCATTTCTCAAATTTGGCGTCTCTCGCAGGAAATAGAATCTCTACACGCTACATTTAAGGACGAGAGAACTATAAACGAGAAGCTGAAGCGAATCAAGGTACTTACTTCTCTCAGTTCCCCTACTTTCGCCATCCATTTGTTCGTTTTAAGTTCATCTACAACCTTTCTTAATACTCTCGGTGTGTTGAACAGATCGACTTGGATTCGAATTATTCCGTCCCCTCCAACGATATTGCTTCTTTTGAAGAAGGGGAAAAAATAACAGAGGAACAGCCTACTACTCAACCTTCCTCAAACAAAGTTCTGCTTCATCAATCAGAGTCTTGTAGCAGGACAGATGAAACAAGTTGCAGTCGGGATGCTTCCTTCTTGCTCCCTGACCTGAACATGACGCCCTCCGAAGAAGATCCTCCATCAGCTCATTAGCCTGGTGGTGGGCACCTGCGTCCCATTAGGATAGTTAACCACATAGTACACTTTGCTCTGCTTCGTCAGTTCGTTCGTTGGTTCAGTTCTTTCGTTGGTTCGACTCCCTGCCCTCCCAAATAAGGTATGCTGGGGAAGATCGAACTCAGCCCTTCAATCATAAGATGATGATGGCAAAAGAGGTGTGGGTGGTGTTGTAGCATTGTGAAATAACCTTGTTGCAGCTTAGCTAGTTGAAAGGGAAAGGAAGAGTCCCCTACTTTTTTTTACTGAAGGTGGGGGCCTCTCACTGCTTTCTGACCACTTCTCTTGGTGGTGTCGTCCCTCCTCCAGAATGAAGGCCAGCTGCTGATGCATGTATAAGGAAGTTTCTCTCTTCACTTCTCTTCTCCATTAGCTGTTGAAGAAAATGCCAATGAAGGCCTTACTGCTGTAGAGTAGTGACAAATAGGCAATAGCCCCCAGCCCCCCACTATTAGAATGTGCAGAGATAAATATAAAAATAGCAGATATATATATTTGTTCTGTAGCAAGTTTAGCTTTTCCTCTTTTCGTTCATCCCAACAAAAACCTGTGGGGTAAACTCTCATTACTTCTGTTTGTTTCTTCTTCTAATCACTGTTACCTCTTGGAGATTTTTTGTAGCGCAGTTGCTGTATCTGTTTGGATTAAGGGAAGCTAATTTTTTGTTAACTATTTTGCTTTGTATTCTTCGCGTGATAAATGATTGATGATGGATAATTCTTTCTAGTGAATGTATTCCCGCCGAGTTCAAATTTCCATGATTGATGAGAAATGCCTTGTAAAAGTTCAGGTTAAACGTATACATATCCAAATGTTAAATGATCGATGATGAATGCTCCGTCGATGTTCAGGTGAATTCATACTGTATTGATATGTGAATCAAAACATACAATCTGGACTTGTTGGCGGTGACCGTCATAAGTGCAAAATCTTGGCAACACATATCTCTTCGCAGTAAAGATGACATTGTCTAGCTAACTTGATGATTAGGAAGAACAAGGAGACCAAGAAGTGCTAGCAAATAAACAAAGTCTAACACTATTCTCAACAGCCTAAGGTGAATCCGGGTTTGCTGATAAATTCTGTTCAACAAGCTCAATACAGTGGTACAGGACTAACTCAATTGGATTAAGCATGCCAGCAACTTCATCTGGATCGTTCTCTGGGTCTGCCATCGTGCTGCTCACAATAGTCCGAAGAGGAACGAGCCATTCGTTGCACACCCTCAGCAGATTCTTCCTGAACAATACTCCCGTCTTGTTCGTTTTACCTGTATCCAATTTTTAACAAAAACATGCAGGTGCCTTAAGTAGAAACAAATTAACATATCTGATTATGACGAAATTAATTTTCGGTCTTATTCTTGAGGACGGTTAGCAGTAACTTTACCTGCTGATTCTTTCATTAGCACAAATCTATATAGGTTGAGAGCAGCTAGAACCTGTCGAGCATAAAATAAAAGAAAATTGCAGCATTAATGGTATGGCAGGAGAAAATAAAATTTACATGACTTTTATAGCAAGGCGATTGAAGATAAATGTGCACAGAGACCAGGTAATTACCGCTTCGCCATGTTCTGGAAAGGATGGTTGTCCACCATGCGGCGGCCTTAGAACTAGCTCCACCAATTCCAGGATTCTCTCTGTCCAAGCTGATTCTGTCGGACTTCCATGATTACCAGCTTCATCTCCTCTGTTTGTTGATTTTTTTGGGAGAGTTTCCTTGCGTAATTCACCTCTAACAAGATCTAAAAGGATTGCAGTCTGTATGGAATAGCAGCATGCGCTCAGAGAATCAAACATTATTGCCCACATCTTGAACATATGTCAAGGCATGAAAATTCCACACACAAGCTTGCAAGGGAGTTTTACCATGGAGGACGAATCTGAATTTGTTATCAACGCTTGTAGGATATCAATCCTTTCAGGGATGGGAGTATCTGCAAGTACCTGATTTCATTTGGCAAATCCCATCCACGGTCATTCTCTAGCTAACTGACATGTGTACTTTTACTATGCAAGAGTTCAAAGATGAAAAAACTTACCCTTTTCAGAGCTTCAAAAGAATTTTTCCTTAGTGTGGAATCAGGCGAATGCATGATAACCTTGGTAATTGCCTAAAATTGTTGGTTCCAATGGTCAAGGGAAGAATATACATATAAGAGGTATACTAATATTACCAACTTGGATTTGTGAGAATGTACCTGTGCTGTAGCAAACAACGAAGGCATGTAGATTGAACAGTCTGTTATTGGTTCATCATTATGGCAATTCGGTGTGAAACTTCCATTAGTAATACCAAGCAAGAATTCCACGGTATGCCTTTTAATATCCCAGGGAAGAATAACTGAAGAAAATATGTGTTTTAACATGCCTATTGCTTCCCACCTCTGAACTTGGTTATGTTGAAGCTTATCCTTCAAAGCAGACATATTCTCTCCAGCTTGCTCAGCTATCTCGTTGGAGATATCCCCCCAAATGACTGCAGGTACAAACCCAAAGAAGCTAAAGACATGGAAGCAAAATAAACAACTTAACCAATCAACTTATCTCCAGAACACAGACCAACCTGATAGAGACGCACCCAGCCTCATGTCAGGAAAGGAGGTCATTATGTCATCTTCTTTATCTGTCCAGTTGAGTAATGAATATTTTCAGTAAACAAACTGGACAACTTTGGCTTGCTCATACCAGTACAATCCTAGGGCCTAAACATGGTATCACCTTTTTACCTTTGGTGACAATAGAGATCTTGGCATCGACATCGGATTCAGTTATCAAACCAAGATATGTCAAGCCACACCGTGGAAGAAGTTTACAAATCTCTGACACCAGAGGAGTGCAGCCTGATTGTTCAGATGGTATACTGGCTGACACAAGAGCCTGCAAGTCAAATCCAGATCCACTGTTGTTGAAATCTAACGTGGAAATTAGATAACGCCACAAAAGAAATAACAAGTATTTAGTTCAATGGACGAGCCCTACCATAATTTGCAATATGAACAAACCCATCAGAGACTGAAGTTCCTCAGATTCTCCACGATCCTATTTAAATCCACAAACAGATGTATCAACAGTGCAATATCAGGAAAATAGGTATGAAAAAAAAAGTGAGTTCAACTAGCTTACCAGTTTCGTACTAACTACGCATATAGAATCTGCCATTGCCAAAGCTATGTTGAATAGTAGTACACGCTCTGCATCTCTATCAGCTAACTCAACAGATACCACTTTCAGGACATTCAATACAACAGGAACTGCCAACTTTGCCTGCTTAAAATGATGCCGCTTAATGGAAACAAATACTGCAAAGCAGTATAGGAAAAACGATAAGCGATCGAATCAGTTAATGCATCTGGAAACACAGAACATTGATCACATGGCTTATTACCAACCTTTCGAGAGCCCAGTCAGGAGAGGAGCAGCATAACCAGGGTCACTGCTAGTACTCAAGGAATCCAATGCCTGTTGCAGGCAAATAAAAAAAAACGAATCATTAGAACAAAACAAATGGAAAACCCTAGAAACTCACGGAAATCTCATTGGCAATTAACCAAATAGAAGTTCAAAAGCACTCCCAAATATACCTCAGATAGAATGCAGATCATGTCCCGTGGATTACATCTACCAACAAACCAATCGATAATGGAATCAGCAATCTCCAAACACCTATCTGAAACCCCTGCGAACTTTGAAACTGCTTTTGGCAATTCAAACGAGAGTGCGTCGACCACCGCCTGCAGAGTTGAATTGCACAACCGTTTGAAAACCCAACAAGCGGCAGCCATAGTAGCTCGACGAAATTGCAGGAATAGAAGCATGGAAAAATCTGGAACAAATTGGAGAAAGAAGACTGAACCTGGTTTGGCGTGGAAGAAGAGACGAGAAAACTCTGAATCTCAAGGAGTAGTTCAACCGCATTCTTCCTCGCTTCTTCGTTTTCAGGTTCTGAGGTTGCAGCCTCGGAAATGGAATCCAGAAAGCTCGCAAGCTCCTCAAGAAGGCCTGAGGTTTCCTCTTCTCCTCCTTCGATTGACTGGCGAAGCAAGAAAAGTCAAGCATCATTTTCACCCAACGCAAGGGAAGTTGAAGCTCAGCTTGTAAAGGAAGCTTACTTTGCAGCAAGAAGAGAGACTATGGCGAAGCCGGAGTACCACCGCGCTTAGCTCCTTCTCTGCCATGGCGTCGCTCAGTCGGTCTCTAGTGGCCTGCTTCTCAATTCAATTTGAACAAAAGACTCTTTATATACGAACGAGAAGAAGCGCACAGTCCGAAATGTTGTTCGGGTCGGGTTATTAACCTAACCCAACTCATGGTCCGGATAAACACAGGCCCGTTTTCGTGACGAAAGAAGAACAAGGTTGGCCAATGGCCACTCTGATCGATCAATTTTTTTAGCTTTCCCTCGAAATCAGAATCTTGGCGCTCTCTGAATTCTGCCATTGCTGTTGCTCTTGTGAATGTTGGTAATCTGAAATTCAGTTTGTTCATTACATTTTCCGGCGGCCTCCGTCTGTCTCCGTCGTTAGGGCGGTGAGAAAATGGAGCCGGACGTGAGCATCGAAACCTCGTGCATGATCCGGATCGCGGTGCTTCCAGTCGGTACAGTTCCGGCGAGCGTCCTCCGAGATTACTTCTCCATGTTTCTGCGGCACCACACCATTCCTCTCGCCGCGATAAGTTCCTTCTACACGGAGCACCAGAAATCCCCCTTTGCACAGCAGCCGTGGGATGCCGGATCGATTCGGTTCAAGTTCTTGCTCGGCGGAGCTCCACCGAGTCCCTGGGAGGATTTCCAGTCCAACAGAAAGATTCTCGCGGTAATTGGAATCTGCCACTGCCCTTCAACACCCGATCTCGATTCCGCGGTGGAGCAGTTCGCCGCGGCGTGTAAGAGTTACTCGTCGGCGTTGGTCCAACGGTGCTTTGCATTCTGCCCTTGCGATTCTCAGCTCGAGGACGGCGGGAAGAAAGAGGATGTCCTGAGGCTGTTCCCTCCTGCTGACCACCAGACGCTGGATATCCATTTGCAGACAATGATGCAGGAAATCGCCGCTTCGTTGCTGATGGATTTTGAGAAGTGGGTGCTCAAGGCGGAATCGGCAGGAACTATACTCAAGACGCCTTTGGATTCTCAAGCCAGTCTCAGTTCAGAGGAGGTTTATGTTTAGGTGTCCCAAGTATTTTGAAATTCTGCTATTTTCTCAAGTGAAGCTTTTCCATATCCTGCGCTGCCATTGCAACTACCCCTTTGTGGTTTTGATCTTACTTTTTTCTTGTTCAATTGCAGGTTCTCAAGGCGAAAAAGAGAAGACTTGGCCGTGCACAGAAGACCATAGGGGATTATTGTTTGTTGGCTGGATCACCAGTTGATGCTAGTGCCCATTATACTACTGCATTAGAACTTGCCAGATTGACTGGGGATTTCTTCTGGTTTGCTGGCGCCTTGGAGGGTAGCGTTTGCGCTTTACTGGTACTCACCTCTCTCCATTAGTGGTGGATCGTGATTCTCAGCAATGTGTGGAATATTTTTGGGCGTAGAAACATCCATAGGTATTTTTATTTATATAGATTGTAGGTAATCCAATTTTCTTTAAGCTGCCTCCTTCAACTGAACCTGATTTCTGTGTCCTGTGTGTTTGATAACCTCAACTTAGTTGGTTGCTTCAAAGCATTTGAAGAATGATGAAGTACCAAAAACAATGTTTGCGGTTCATCCATGTTTAAACTCTTTGGTCCTGACCTCCTGTGATTGGAAATCAGTAGACAAGAGCCATTTTGTTATATTTGGGGAACCACTTTTGACAGAATTCACATCCACAAACGTCTTAATGTAAAATCAATTGCCCTGCCATAGAATGGCTAGGCTTAATATCTGTGCCTCTTGATCATTGATTTGCTTCTGATCTTCAGTAATGTCTTTCCTCCTTTTCTCTGCTATTTAGATGGATCGAGTGAGCCACATTGATGCAGTTTTAGAAGATGAAGTTAAGTATCAATACAATAATGTGATATTACATTATAGGAAGTCATTTATCCAAGACAATGCTCAGAGGTAATCTCTATTCTTTCGTAACAGCTCGTAGATATTCCTTTGTTCTTGCTGTTTCTCCTTACTTTTGATTCAGTAGGCGTCTGTAGGTTAGTAAAACATGTGCTCTATTCCTCTTCTTCACTTTTCATTTTGTGGCTGTTGTGATCCTCTTTGGTTAACTTGGTGCTATCTTCTTGTCTCCTTCTGACGATTCTTGTTGTATGTATGTTTTCTGTTAGAAATTCCTCTCAAGGAAACTCCTAAGATTTCTAATAAAATTTGTTCATTCATAAAAAAAAATGATCAATTTTTTTCTGGAATTTCTTTTGATAGGTTCTGACTTCTGAGGCTCTAGTGCATTAGGATAGTGAAAATTGGGTAGTGTTTTTTTTTTTTTTTTTTTTTTTTGCACTATGTGGCCCAGAGCCTGCAAAGACAGAGATATATGATTTCTCAGCAGTCCTTCTGGAATAGGCGTAACAAGCATAGTTGATTAACAATATGAATTAAATGAAATAAACTTTATTATAATATGTTTTATCTTTCCTGGTGAATATAAACGACTGTTGCTAATAAAAATAACACTAAAGTTGCTTGTCTAATTGGTAATGGAATGCATATATACTTTGGGCATATTACTTACTAATTAGCCTACTCCCCGTAATTTCTTGTGGAGAAAATATATAGATGGTGCAGCATTGGCAACTTGTGCTTGCATTACTTCTCCTTTGGTAGTAAAGATAGAGTGCTTTGATGTAGCTTCATTTTTGTAATGGAAGCACAAAGCAACACGAGAAGTTGCCAGGATATAGCTATTTAACTCGAGTTTCAGCCAAATTCTTCTCTCTGACTTAATTTTCTCTTATGTTTTCTGAGGTCACCTTTTGCTTGTGTATAATATTGACCAAAATATTTCCAATATATCTTACATGCAGAGTTTCTCCCTTAAGCTTTGAACTTGAAGCTACTTTGAAGTTAGCAAGATTTCTCTGCAGGTAGGCATTTCATTCTCCCTTCTTTTGTGAATATTTTATGCTTGTGTTAAATAGCTTCCTCTCCACATCGCTGTGACTGCATGCAGTATCATACTAGATTTACATTGTTTTCTGCATTTGTAGCAGATGGTGGAAAGTCATTGATTGATGTTAATGATAAAACAGCATTTAAAAGTTCTTATCTTTGCAGGCGCAATCTGTCTAAGGAAGTTGTGGAGTTGCTGACCAGTGCAGCAGATGGTGGAAAGTCATTGATTGATGTTAATGATAGACTTGTTTTGTTTGTTGAAATAGCACGGTTATTTGGGACAATTGGTTACCAGAGGAAGGCTGCCTTTTTCTCAAGGCAGGTTGCACAATTATACCTCCAACAGGACAATAAGTTTGCCGCTACAAGTGCCATGCAAGTGTTGGCAATGACTACAAAAGCATATCGTGTTCAGAGCAAAGCATCTATGCCCGATCCTCCTCATACGAAAGTGAGCCAGTAGAGAAAATAAACAACTGTTAGGCATTTTGTGTTACTTGGATGGACGACTGAGATTCTTTTACCCGAGTCTTTTGCTTTCAAAATCCTTATTAAAGGTTTCAAGTTGTGTTACTTTGAATTCTCACAGTCAATTGTTATTAATATTGCAGAAGCAGACTGGGCCAAGTCATACTGATAGTGGGAAAATGCATCATCATTTGGTTGTATCTTTATTTGAATCGCAATGGAGCACGCTGCAGATGGTTGTGCTTAGAGAGATACTGTTATCTGCTGTTCGAGCAGGTGATCCACTGGCTGCATGGAGTGCGGCTGCTAGGCTGCTGAGACAATACTATCCTCTGATTACCCCTCCAGGGCAGAATGGGCTTGCTAGTGCACTCAATAACTCTGCTGAAAGGCTGCCTTCTGGAACTCGCTCTGCTGATCCTGCTTTGCCTTTCGTGAGGTGTTGTTCCTGTGCACATGCTATCCCAAAACTGTTTTAACTTCATCCACGGTCGGAGGGTGTATCTCAGTACTGCCACTATTATTTTTCATAAGTTAGTAATTTTTTAAATTCATTGTTTTTGTTCAGGTTGCATTCTTTTCCTCTTCATCCATCACAAATGGATATTATCAAGCGAAGCCCCACTAAGGAAGATTGGTGGGCTGGATCTGCTCCTTCAGGACCTTTTATCTATACCCCATTCAGCAAAGGGGAACCAAATGATACTAGCAAGCAGGAACTGGTTTGGATTGTTGGAGAACCAGTCCAGGTTTTAGTTGAGCTTGCAAACCCATGCGGCTTTGATCTAAGGGTTGATAGTATATATCTCACGGTGCATTCCGGTTCTTTTGATGCTTTTCCAATAAGTGTGGACCTTCCTCCTAACTCATCAAAGGTGATCACATTATCTGGAATCCCGACTTCTGTGGGGCCCATAACGATTCCCGGGTGCACTGTTCACTGCTTTGGAGTTATCACAGAACACCATTTCAAGGATGTTGATAACTTGCTCCTTGGGGCAGCACAGGGGCTTGTGCTCTCTGATCCATTCAGGTGTTGCGGATCTGCAAAGTTGAGAAATATATCTGTGCCCAGTATCTCTGTTGTGCCACCACTGCCATTGCTAGTCTCACACGTGCTGGGTGGTGATGGAGCAATAATGTTGTATGAAGGTGAGATACGTGATATCTGGGTTAGCCTGTCGAATGCAGGAACTGCTCCAGTTGAGCAAGCACATATTTCTCTCTCCGGTAAGAACCAAGATTCGATCATCTCGATACCTTATGAGACCTTGAAATCTGTTCTTCCGTTGAAGCCTGGAGCAGAGGTGATTCTACCTCTAACTTTAAAAGCCTGGCAGCTCGGACCTATGGATTTTGAGATTGGTGGTGGAAGGGCTGCAGCCTCTGGAAGCACAGGAAGGCAGTTTAAGGATGCTAGTGTACCTACTCTATTGATCCATTATGCAGGTATTACCTTTATGTTTATGCATGCTAGTCCCTGTCTAGCTGAATCTACATGTTTGACATATTTCCTGACGTTACAACACAGTATTTGTTGAGGTATCATTTTGATATCTTAGATTGCAACCTCCCCATTGACTACATACTTTGCATATTCATAATTGAACGGTTATTTTTGGGCAAGGATCCAAGTTTGGTTACCAAGAGTGGCCACTACATGAGTTGTCTCTTCCTTATGCTTCATCA